TGCCGACACCTCTGAGGTCTGATTGAATGGCTGATTAAGTCCGAAAAACTCAAGGAGTTTGTGGGTCCATGAGCAACGACTCAATAGTAAGGGAAAGCTCTAGTAGTAGAAATATCAAAAGAGCCGGGATGATCCCCCACAATCCACATTTTTAGCATAGTTCTCGTCATCTTTAAAGGAGGTGGAAACTCATCCCGCCAAGCCAGCCTAAAGAGGTTTTAGTCGGGTGAACTATGTGTAACCACTCTCGCTCTCAAATTCAGCTCACATCCCTTCATGGTCTTCACCAATGAAGATTTTCTCTTTAGCAGTTATCCCTACAACTACACCATCATCGTCATCGCATTGATCAACAACTATCAGATTGGTAGTATCCTAATCTACACCGGCATCTTTGTGAGCATCTTGTTCAAATTAGTGTTCGATAATATGACTCTCATCAACAACCGACTGACCGTGGCATGACGCTTTAAGGTTAGAATAAAATCATGACGCGAAGTAAAGCATGACCATTCATTTAGTTTTGATATATACGAAAATTAGAATGATGCTTTATATTCAACTAAAATACAATCTATTAAAAAATCATGATATTTAAATATCACATTATCTTTATAAATCATTAAAATCTATATTTCGTGTAACTGAATACTGTTTGGCAATAATACATTGCACTTTGGTATTCACTTAACACTATTGTCCTTCCTCCTATTCATGGTTGTTGCAGATAGGGCACATGCAGATAATTTTAATATGTGACCACTTATAAATTACATAATTTTTTTTGCATCTGAAATCTCTCTAATGGAGAGAATTATAGAGATTTTAGAATTTTAAAACACTTATTTTAAACAAATTTACATAGGAGTTGAGTGCTACGTATATTTCTCTTGTTGAAAAAAAAAGCAAAGAAAAGAAAGGAACTTTTAATATTGAGGCATTTACATACATATCACCCTTCTCCGAATGTTAAAGCCTCGACGTAGTCCTCTCAAACCAGCTACAGTCGAAGAGCCTACTTCGGTCGATGCATCCACTCGGTCGAAGCTTCTGTCGCCAATGGCAGAAGCTTATGCTGCTTCTGGTGGAAGCAGCTGACCCCATGATCGAAGCTTCTGCCACCGTGGTCGAACCGTCTCCTACGGTTGTGTATCATTCGAATCAAAGGCTTCAAACTCAAGCTTGAAATCAAGATCAAAATCGAAATCAAAGATGATGTTGTCCCTTGAACTCTTGAACACCAATAAGGGAACTTCTTCTTCTTGCGGCTCCTTCAAACACAAGATCGAAAATTTTAGTTATTATTTCCTCACTCGTGAACCGGATTGAGCCGCTCGATTTAGCGCGCTTTGAAGTGTGTTTCACGTGTGAACTGCATGCTTCACACACCAATAGCGCAGGGCTGCAGAGGGAAGCGAATGACCGCACGTGAAACACACTTCCACACGCGCTTTTACAACACTAGTATTTTCACATCTTACACCCAAATATTGATATTTACACTTATAACATTTTAGTTGTATAGATCCATGGATGAAAATGTGTATTTCACTTATTAGAAATAATAATTTGATGTGATGTTAAAAATTTGAGTTATATATGTAAAGATGAGAGTTGAGATGTTACATATGTGATTAAAATAAGAATTATGTGGTGTGCATTTATGTAAATGTTCCTAACAATATCAGAGCTTTGTATTCTGTGTCAAATCTATGTAGCCATAGCAAGGTTAGTAGCATTATTGATCGGTAAAGGTGTAGAAAGACTTGCAAGCTTCTATTTGTTATTGAATGTAACATTAGCTAACTCAGAGTGTACGAGAAAATGCTTTATAGACTAGGAAACTTTTTGAAGGTTATTCTTTATATATATATATATATATATATATATATCAAGCTATTGGATAGAAATTTTGAGCACAAACGATCAATCTCTTCAAGAATGGCTTTGGGGTAGAATAAAGATCTCACCTTTTGGGAGAGGCATTTCATGAAAGAAATCTATATTGAACCTTAGAGAGAGAATGGAGAAATATGACAATGTTTAGGAAAGTTAGGAGTTCTGTAGTTTATGAAAAAAAGAGTTTGTGAGGTGATGTTTCATGGCCATAATTTAATGCTTTAGATGTAGTTGAGTTATCAATGAATAGATAATCTTATGTTAAAAGATAGAATGAAATCAAATATTAAACAAAACTTACGATGAATTACATATATATATATGTGTGTGTGTGTACCATGGCCTGTTGGTAGAGCAGCCTCTCTGAAGGTCGTAAATTCCCTCAGGTCACGGGTTCGAATCCCCCCGTATGTAGGGTGTGAGACTAATCTTGAATTGGTAATTTGAATTGATTGCATAATTAGTGGCTTCATAATAGACATGAGTTAATTAGTGGAACAAATATAGAAGATATGATCATAGCATTAATTTTGAATTAAATATAGGAGATATGACAATATCATTAATTTTGAATTTGAATCTTAAATTCAAATTCAAAATTCAAATATGTGTAATCAATTCAAATAGGCGCGAATTGATGA